GAAACCCCCTACTCCAATTTTTAATGGTCTCGCTAAAATTTATGTTTTCAACAATCCACTCTGTCTGTCTGTTTTGGCTTAATGACTGGATTTCACTTTCGCTTTTTTGCATTTAGCAGGAAGTCTAGTGGTTTTTTGTACCCAATTGTATAGGCGCCCAGTAATGACCAGCAGGTGAAAAGTTTCTCCGTTCACATTGTGTTGGGCGTTGGTTTTGTGTGCTTCTTTTGCTTCCAAGCAATTCACGTGGTTTCTCATTCGCTCGCATTTGTTTTTGTATTTGTGGATATTTTGGATAAATATTGTGCGTATGTATTTTGTTTAGGTGGCAAACTTAGCGTCACAAGCTAAATGAAAGCGATTTTTGTGAATTAAAAAAAATTTCTGTATCGATTGTTTTATATACCAGGGTCGTCAGTGGTCGAAATTCGACCAATAGAACATACAATTTAATAGCAATGTTAATATTATTTAAATTTTATTGAATAATTTGAGGAAGTTGTATGTGCTGCATTTCTGGTTTTGGCTCAATTCTTCAATGAAGAATCGAATCAAATCGGTCTATTCGAATTTATCGTCATATGTGGCCACGAAAGGATGCCATTCATGTGACGCGTAGCATAGTGAAAAAAGGAACACAAACTTTTTGTTACCGTATATACATTTTAAAAACACTAAAAAAACAAAAAAATGAGATCAGATCACGAAACTGGCAATTTACAAACTACACAGAAGATTGTTTATAGTGATTGGATCGTTTGTCCCCTAGTAATCACTCAAGCAAATTTGAAAACGTGTTTAAAGATAAATTGTTGGAGGAGATTGAACTCAGCGAACACACTTCAGAAGGCTGTAACTCAAAAAGCATTTGAGATATGGATTTAATTTTGGTATGTCATTTTTATCGAAATATTGAACAAAAAAATATTATACTACGTTTGCCCTTTAAGGGATTCAGGAAAAATTTTTGGTTTGGATTTGGAGAGCTTTTTCTTAAAAAATGTTCAAAATGAGTTTGAAACTCTGCTTTGTTGTAACTCTTATAAATTTGTACATACAAAGATATAGATAAAGACATACTTGTATATGTATGACTAAGGGGCTGGCTAGCAAAATGGAATCAGCGTAGAATTAAATGTATGAGAACCAGGGTTGCAAATAATGCCTTAAAAAAAAATTAAAATAACATTTGAATTAAATTTTTTTATTATTTTGTAATCCCAAATACGGGGTTAAAAAAATGTTTAATCTCACATACCGGATTTAAAAAAAAAATTTTAATCTCAAAAACCGGAACGAAAAAAATTCAATCTTAAGCATATAATTAGGAATTAAAAAAGAATTTGCTTTAGTTTTTCGAGTTCATTGAAATTTTTAATCTCAAACATCGATTAAAAAGTGAAAATTTTATTTTTAATCCCAAGTTTTTAAACAAAAAAATTTGCAACCCTGATGAGAACGAAACCTCCTCCCTACTAGGCGTTTATTCATATGCTCATTTTGAGAAGTTGCGTTATGGCGCTGTTTGTACCGATTTATACCCGCCTTTTATTGTTTATACTTTTTGGTTTATTTTTCGTGTGTGGTTATTGTTTTTGTCTCCATCACAAAACTGCTTATACTTGACCTTCAAAGTGTGGACTCGTTGGACGAATCGTCTTGGCAATAACATCAGTACTTGAATTTACGATGACGCGCTTTATTGATATTATTGTTGTGATTTTCTTCGCTTCGAGTTTACGCCTGCTTTACCTTTGATTTTAAACCTTGCCGACTACATCAGTATATGTACGTACGTATGTGTATGTATGTGTGTCTGTATTTATAAATAGTTTTCTGTTAAAATGTTTTTTGCATATTTTGTTTTCATTAAACTGTTACTACGAGTTTACCAGCGTATCTGCTTCCGCAATATGTCTGTATGCAGGCATACAAACATATACATACATATAAATATAAAAAATATGTTTGTATGTATGCAGGGCAGTGATTTCTGTCTGACCCATTCGAAAATCTGTGAGTTGCTGATGAGCGCACTCTGCTCGCCTGGTTGAAATAGTACAAAAAACTAATCAGCTTTGTCTTCCACACACCTTATGGTTATATTTAGTACGTAAAGTAGTTTGCTTGGGCTGAAGCGATGTGATAGCTAGAAGATATTATTTCGATGTTTAGAGTCCGTCAAACGCAATGAAACGCGTACAGGCGTGAATCTATGAAGCATTTTGTAGAACTTTTGATGAGTCTTGTTTAGAAGTTTCTGCCGCGACATAGTATTTAGCATGTATTTGTAGCCCTACTGTTCACAGTTTCTTTACTAAGTCGTTATTCCGTTGCGGCTAGTTAATCTAGTCAGCTAGTTTAGCTCGGCAGCTATTCTATGCGATACAGGCAAACAGAAAAAGGTGGTGGACAACTAGTCTCATACAACATATTTAGTAAAAATCAATAAAAAAAAATTATACAACTCATGGCGAAAAACCTGCCGGTATTTTCATTTCAGTTTTTTGTTTTTCAAAAAACCTTGGAAAACCTTAAACAATTACCTTAAAGCAAGGCTAACACATCGCACGTTGTATTAAACTCGCTAACAAACTGAGCAAGCAGTCAACCATCGGCTAACCGAATGCTCCTCAATATAGAGCTACAAAGAGGCAAACAACAAAAACATTGCCACAGATACAGATATTTTGTGTACATAAGATTGTGATTAAAAGCTGCATAAATGCACAAACTGCCTTGTCGTCAAGCGCCCTCTGAAAGCAACCCATGCAACCTACGCTAATAGGCCTTTACAATGGCTTGAAATCAACAACCAAGCGAGACTCATAAAGTAAAGCATGTCGCGGCGTAATGTTGATAAGTGATTTCTTTAAGGTCAACCCGAAGCAGCGAAGACATCCAAAGAGACCGTGTCAACTTAATATGTTTCACTATTTTTCGAAATGTTTGTTTTTATTGTTATTATCTGCCGACTGTGCGGTTGCTGGCTGCAACCAACACATTATAGCAAAGCAATAAAGTTCACGAATGAACAGATCATTCGCAGAAAAATATTTACGGATATATGTACATACTTACGTACATTCACGCTATTAAATTGGCCTGGACTGCAGTTGGTAGTTGCAGAACATTTATGAGAATCTTTATAGTACCTTTCGTACTCGTAGTGAGCATGCGTGTTTATGATTGGGCTGCAAGCATTGCCTTTGTATTGCTTGGCCTTCAAAAGTTCGAAAAGCAATGGCAAAGTTGTTTATAGTATCTTTTTCAGAATTTTATTGGGGAATATTGAAGTAGTCATAATGCGAGTTTAACAAGAAAAACGTTAACTTCGGTTGCACCGAGGCTGTAATACCCTACACAAATAAAAGAGTTTAAACGGTCAGTTTGTATGGTAGCTATATGCTATACGGGTCTGATATCGGCGATTCTGACGAATAAACAACTTCTTGAAGAGAAAAACATGTGTAAATTTTCAAATCGATATCTCAAAAACTGAAGGAATAGTTTGCGTACATATAGGTATATATATAGACGGACATTCCTAATCGGCTTAGCTCATTACGCTGCTCATTTGTACTTTATAGCGTTTCCAATGCATAGCGCCACCTGATCGTATGTCAATGGCCACCAAAGGGTGACACGTGTACGTATTAAAGTGCATTTTGGCAGATTGCAACGCTCCTGGTGGTGCTATTCGGGTGATTTCCAGGTTACGCGAAGTACAAACATCGTAAAAAACTGAATACACCCTGTTCGGGATATACTAATAAAATAAAACTTTATAAATATGTTTTGCGAGTGTATACCGATTAAGCTCATTTCAAACTACAATTTACCTCACAATCTAAAGAGCTATTAATAATATTGATAAACAAAGATAAACAATAAATATAACGAGTTCACACGTATCAAGTTTATTTGTTTGCCTCTATCTTTCACTTTCGCTTTCAGCTCATCTAGGAAGTGAAATACACGCGTATGAACAGGCGATCATCGAGCAAAAGCAGGGCCCTTCCAAATTCCTCTCCAAGCGTTTATCGCTTGGTGGCGCTTTCATTAGCATTGTGCGAAGTCAGCAATTAGCGGCGTTGGCCGTAACTACGTCAGCGATTGGAACTGATTAACATCGCTCTTTACTGTACCCCAAACGCATGTTTCGGGTTTTCTGCGTCGCTTCAGCGATACGGTATTATTGTGTACAAGCCGATGTATATAATTTATGTACAACTGTACATAGTCCATATGAGTATATATCGCTGAGGTTAGCGTCGTCACGGTACACGATCTTGTATATTTGGCTACGACGCTTTTGGTTGACCCACTTTTGTAGTGAAGTTGATTTATGTTTTTGAATTTCGTCGCTCTAACTTATGCTGGGCGCCCAAAAGATTTCGATGACGTTTTTGGCGTTCGAAAGTTTTTTGTATGGCGTCTGTTTTTTTGTTGTCTATGCATGCCGTGTATTTTCGTATGAGTTTCTGTTGATAGTAAGTTTGAGGGATTTTAAATTTCAAGCTCGATTTAAGTACATAAGGCTTAAATCGATAAATGTTAAATCTATTGCCGACATACATTTTTAAACGGAGAGATTGTTCATGTGCTCTTAATAGAAGTGCGCAGCAATCCACAATTTTCACTTGCGCTTGCGTTAAAAGTTTTTTGTCTGAAATTTTAATTTGTAATGCAATTTCATGTATCCACCATATAAAGTTGCTGACAATCAATTAATATAATTGAAGTGTCTGCTGCTGCGATGTGTGTAACACCACATGTTGCCGTGAATACATGAAACTACAGCTTAAAGGCTGGCGCAAAAAATTAATATTCAACTTGGAAAACAATACACGGAAGACAGACGAGCAAGCAACAAAAGCCAAGTACAATGTTGCTGTTTTTGAGTATTTTTTATTACATTTTCCGTTCTGTTCACAAGCGTTTCATCCACTGACTGCCCACTTAAGCGACTTTTACTTTTTTGATCCTTTTATTCGCAGACACCAGCACGGCTCTGAGCAATGTGAGCGTCTCCATACCTTCGGCCGTTAAACGTGGCGATAACGCCATCTTAATCTGCAATTACAACCTGGAATATGAAAATCTATATACAGTTAAATGGTATCGTGGACGACGGGAGTTTTATCGCTACACGCCGAAGGAGAATCCAGCGTTGAAGATATTTCCGGCGAGTGGTGGATATTCGGTTGACGTAAGTAAAACAACAGTATTGCTATTCAACATACACATATATTTATATGGGGAAAAACGTACAAAAATATAGTAATTAAGAAAGAAAAACATGGACAATGATCAGGGGCCAGCCGAGCTTATGGGTATACATAAGCACATACATGCCTGTATGCCAGCAAAAGGTATTTATGTTTGTATGAATTTGTTTATAATCATTGTCAAACTTGCTCAATTCAGGATGCAAAAAATTTATTTTCCTTTAACTTGCCGTTATACATATAAAATGGCAGGAAAGATGAGGGGACTATTAGTGCTAAATTTTCTTGTTTTAATACGCCGACATATTATATTTATTTCCAGTTGTTGGCCTGGAGTGCAGACATTTTGTTGTTATTTAATTATTTTCTCTCTTTTCAGCTTGCTTACAATTAATTTATAAATTTCGAAGCAACAGCAGTAAAAGTTAAAATTGAAAATAAGTCAGCATTGTTACAGGCATTTTTATTTTTTATTTTTTATTTCTTCACTCACTCTCACTCACGCGCGTCCCTTGTTGCATGCGTCCAGCCAGAAGCTGTTTCATTAAGAATTTTTAGCGCGTGCCGCAAAATTTCAACTTTAATTACGCTGACACGTCGAATGGCGGTTTGTGGCTGAGTGTCATGCTGTGAGCGAATATTTCGTTGTTGCAATGGTTTTACCTTAAATTAGTAATTTAATGTTCACTATAATTGCAATTCTTAATATTATGCTACGCTTCTCGACGTAGGAAGGAAAGAAATCTTTCAATTTTTTTGATCTTTATATTATGGATTTGTAAATCGCTTGGGTCAAAATCTTTTGATTGACTGATAAATAAAACGTTGACTAATATTTATAGAGAGTACCAGAGCAATCATTGGGAATGATATGAGAATGTTATATGAACGCAATGAGCGACACTAATGGAGAATGGCGATAATAAGCGACAGAATAGTTCGTGTTTAAGTCCAGTCCAAATGAGATACATATATCTGACATAAACTCAACCGAAGCAGCTAAATTTAATATATTGAGTCGAAAATAAATAAATCAGAATTGAAAATATTAATGATATTATGGTTCCGACCAAGGTCTAAACTAATTCCATTCATATTAAACGCTAAACCACATACTTTTTATAAAAACTTGCCCACTTAATTTCATGACTAATCTGAACGGTTTAAATATAGGGGGAAAGTCGGAAATATATTATAAAAGTAGTATATTATATAAAGTCTGAGCTGATTAGACTAACTTTTGACATTGCTCAAATATATTTGAGAACAAATTTGCAAGCAATTTCATAAATATATTACTCACACACTGACCGACATATTCGGCATAAGGTTTAATGGAATAAAATATAACATCACTATTTGTAATATATGGGAGTTGGGGTAATTCGTCAACCAATTTCAATTTTGGTATATTCAATATTATACGTTCAGTTAATATTGCTTAGATAGCTTACATATTAATCGATATATACGATATAAAGCCATATGGAAGTTCGGAAATCTTATTATTTGATTATTTATTATCAGAAAAGTATTCTCTCCCGATGCATTAATTGGTGCAGGATTTGTATACTGGAAAGTGAAAGAATCAGATGGAATTAAAAATTGCGTTATATGGGAAGTAGGCGTGGTACTCTGTAGCAACATTTTGCAAGAGTATAAAAATAATACGTGCATTGTAGAAATGCCCCCATATACAATGTGCTAAAAATACGCACTTGCCGCTTTATAGCTTAAACACAATACGGGCGACAACGAATATTCATTGTACTCGGCGACGCTGTCGGTGATTAGAAACGACGGCGAATTTCGACCACCCTAACGATTTTTGAGATGGAGCTATTTCTAATTTTATCGCCAACGGCGGCAGCAAAAACAGTATCACTATATCAAAGAAAGATTATTTTCAGTAAAATTCTTAAGGATTTAAAAAACAAAATTTAAGAAAATGTCTGCGTTGGCAATATTAACATCCGTCCGTTTTGTGTTTTACACGGCGACAGCACTCGGCGAAAATTCTTCCGACGGCGTCGCCTTGTATAACGAACATTCGTCGTTGCCCGTATTATGTTTATGCTATTACTATTCGGCAACTAATTTTTTATCTTTTCTCCAAGTTACCTTCACTATTAATAAAAAATGTGTATGTGCTGTCATGCTGCATAGTTTTTATACTCTCGCAACCTGTTGCTACAGAGTATAATAGTTTTGTTCACCTAACGGTTGTTTGTATCACCTAAAACTAATCGAGTTAGATATAGGGTTATATATATATATAAATGATCAGGATGAAGAGACGAGTTGAAATCCGGGTGACTGTCTGTCCGTCCGTCCGTCCGTCCGTCCGTCTGTCCGTCCGTGCAAGCTGTAACTTGAGTAAAAATTGAGATATCTTTATGAAACTTGGTAGAAATGTTTCTTGGTACCGTGAGACGGTTGGTATTGCAGATGGGCGTAATCGGACCAGTGCCACGCCAAAAAATCGCCATTAATCAAAAACAAATAAATTGCCATAACTAAGCTAAGCAATAAGATACAAGACTGTTATTTGGTACACAGGATCACAATAGGGAGGGGCATCTGCAGTTAGATTTTTTTTTTTTAAAGTGGGCGTGGTCCCGCCTCTAATAGGTTTAATGTGCATATATCCTAAACCGCTAATGCTATAATAACAAAATTCACTGGAAGCAAATGTTTTTAGAACCTCTACCTACAGTGTGAAAATAGTTGAAATCGGGTGGCAACTCCGCCCACTCCCCATATAACGGTACTGTTAAAAACTACTAAAAGCGCGATAAATCAAGCACTAAACACGCCAGAGACATTAAATTTTATCTCTGGGATGTTATGAGATGATTTTATAGGAACCGCGTTCAAAATTAGACAGTGGGCGTGGCACAGCCCACTTTTAGGTGAAAACCCATATCTTGGGATCTGCTTAACCGATTTCAACCAAATTCGGTGCATAACGTTCTTTTCATATTTCTATGTTATATAGCGAAAATGGGCTAAATCGGACTACAACAACGCCTATTTTCCATGTAACACCATTTTCAATTCCATCTGATTCTTTCACTTTCCGCTATGCATATCAAGCAACAATGATTATATCGGGGTAAAATTTTGCATGAATAAAAGCTTAATGTATGCCACCTTGTGACCAAAAATTGTCTAAATCGAACCAAAACTGTTCAAGCCCCTAAGTACTAAATATGTGGACCCCAGTGCCTATAGTTGACCTTCTACCGAAAATATCAGCCAATCCACAAAGAAATCTCAAACGAGTATACCAATTGACTTTTCGAGAGTTACATCCGAACTTAGCTCTTCCACCACATGCATGTCAAACGAGTGCTGGTAATGTGCAATTGTACGTCCGACCATAAATTCTCTACAAGTATATGTATATAATATTAATGCGCTAGACAAACTTACATGTATGTGTGTAAGCGTTAGTTGTTGCATGTATGGAAGAATCAGTAATTTCTGTATATCGCATATTGAAAACATTTTTAAGCACATAAATAAATTATTTTATGTGTTTGCATATATATTTTTTTGGTGTGTATATACATTTTTCATTCACAAAACATATTTGTGTACATACACTTATATATTTTTGTACACATGTAATTAAAATAAACGAAATTTATTAATGTCATGCACAGCGGGTCCAAGACATGCTTATTGAAAAATCCCTTGTCACTGAGAAATGCACTCAAGGGTAAAATCAAAATATACATATGTACAAAATGGCAAGAACAGCTGTAGCGCCAGAGGTGACAGAGTCTTTGTGTGACAGTTGTGTCTTTCGGCTGAAATAACATGTACCCTACAGGAAGACGTTGCAGTTCCAAAATATTTCGGGTATAGTGACCTTTTTCTTTCCCATACAAAGAATGACAACTCCTGACGTTGCGAGTTCTTTAATTCAAGTTTCCTACAGGGCATTATATATACCATATATATTATAGAAACAGTTCACAGAAACATACATTTGCTATTTATATCGAAATTATATTTCCGGGGATGCAATTACAGATATACTTATTTGCCAAAAATAACGGTTTGCTGTGTATAAATAAAAATTAAGGAGCTAACAATCCGTATAATATTTATATACATTATTCATTATTTAATTGTAGAAAATTTAAGTAATTTTGCTTGTATATTTGCAGATGGCCGAATCGAACGCCACACATGTTTTTATCAGAAATCCCACTTCTGGCAAATATAGCTGCGAGGTTTCAGCCGACGCGCCTTCTTTCAATACATTTTTAGTTTCCGGAGAAATGGAAGTTGTAGGTGAGTTATTGTGACAAAGAAGCATCACAGAAAATTATTCGAGTTTTGGTTTGTAATTAGATTTCATTACTGCAAAATGTCATGTCTATTCTCTTCTTTGTAGAATTACCCACACAACGCCCGATTATAACTGGTGTTCATTCTCGTTACCGTGTCGGTGATGTCATTAATGGCAACTGCTCATCCGACTTTTCAAAGCCAGCAGCGAATTTAACTTGGTGGATCAATGATATGCAGGTGGGTGGATACTTTTGTTGCTTTGTTTTTTTTTAAAGCACCACTTTGCAACGTGTTTTTGACATTTTTTAAATGCTGAATTTTTTTTAAAGATATTAGTAAATAGTGATTATAAAAAATTCTTGAAATAGTTATTTACATACGTAAATATATTTATTAAATTAGTGACATTAAAAGTGACTCAATTCGGTGACATATTCTTCCCAGCACATTTCCATATTCATAATGCCTGATGTGGGACATTCAATTGCTTCGATATTACTGTACTTTTTGCAACTTTTTGGCTGCTGATGTTTCCGTTGCTACACATTTTCATTAATGTGTCGCATAAATCAAACCAGAGGCGAAAAAATTATGATTTTCCTGTACTCATGCGTTTCATACCCCGCGGCTTCTGCTTTCTATTTAGCTCCATTTCCAGTTTGGCTGAGCGACTCTCAGCTATGGCACTAGCGGCATTGATATAGCTTAGAGCCAATCAAATTTCACTTGGCATGGTTGTAACAACACTCGACGGACGCTAGCAGCGCTGAAGGACATTTAGGAGGAAGAGCGCAAACTTCAAAAAATATTCTTAATGAATGTTCCACTTACCAATTGCTTCCAAATAGCAGCTCACTTCCACTCCTTGAGCAACTACAGCCCGTAAATTGCAGCGAATGTCCGAAAAAATTCAATTTGAAATCAATATTGGCTAAAAGTCGTTTTGCCGAAATGGACAGCAACTGCCAGCCAACTACTAACAGCATTCCAAACGTCAAACAAATCTAGTGCAACAACAACAATCGAAGTAAAAATGCAAAAGCAAAACATAAAAACCTTGAAATATTGTTGCTGAAATCCAAATGTACAACCAAAAACGAATAGAAATAAAATGAGAAAAATACCAAAATTCTCCGAACAGATTTATGAAATGTCGAAGAAAATGAAATACCAGCTCAGCCGCAAGCCGTACTCACTATTCGGGGGAAGCAGTGGGCTGAAAGCGTGTCGCCTGAGATCTCGGCTGTGGTGTCAACGCGCCGAAAGTGACATATGCTTGCAGTCTTGCCAAAGCTGCTGGTGGCGTGTTACCCTAAACACACCTACGTCATTTCAACTAACTTTACCGCAAGATATTACGTTTTTTTATTTGATTTTTCTCTTTTTTTCCAAATTTCCGGCAACAGTTTTGCTTTGTTTCTTGCGAATTTTTCATTTAATAGAGAGACGTAGTAGTTTTTCGGTAAATAAAAAACTGGGTTTTTGCAAGCATGCCTGTGATACCTTCGAGGGACTTTGCACTACCACGAACAATTTAAAATTTATTAAAAATCATGATTTGCCCTTTGACATGTACTTCTCACATACGGGTGTAAAAACAAATAATTACTTTGCTCTAGTTTTGAAATCACCTGTAAATGGCAGGGCAATATTTAAAGCTTGAGGTTTTCACTAAATTAAAGATTGTTTAAGTAATTTATTTGACCTAAAACAATATTAGCCACTGGCGTCGGCAAAAAGCAGAAATATATTTGTGTGTATGTAACGCCATGTGGCATGAGGCAGGCTTCGTACTAATGCTGTTCAGTGAAATGAAATGAAAGTTTATTGATTTATGCATTTGTTAGCAAACTCAAATTGAAAATTTCAGCTTTTACTGCGTCAACGCCGCAAATTTTTATTATTACAATTTTTTCTCAAAACTACTTCAACTAAATTATTTTTTTGTGAACCACACTTGAGCGAAGCGGAAGTTGCACTCGAACGCTCAGTGGTAGCGGCAACTTGTAATGCAGGTACCTGTAGCCACTTGAGCGCTGATTGCGATTTCTGTTTTCACTTCCGTGTTACGACGCCAACGCCAGCGCCAAAGCCAACTCTGCCTAGCTGCGTATGCGGTATCCACCGCTCTCTCTGCCTACAGTGCGACAACTCTTGACAAACTTTTCTGCGTCTACCCAAGAAAATCTGTAGTTTCACTAGACTCATACACACCAACCTACATTTATAGCTTGGGCAACTTTACTCGCTACGCATACGCACACACTTCTAGAGCAGTTCGTACTGCACACATATGCACATACACATATCCATACATATTTACGAGTACAATAGTTTGCGTAGTGAATGCAGAAATTCTCAACTTTACGACTTTGCTCGCAAATCAACAGAAAATTCGTTCATTTCTGGTTTTTTATTAGAATTCCTTGCTTTTTTGTGACTTTGCCAAGTGTCACTTGCGCACAAACATGCACACGCAAACTGACTTAAACGCCAACACTAACACACACACATAAACACACTTTTAGTCTGCTCGTATAAATGCGGGTTCATGCAGGCGTTTGCATCGTCGTGTTGAGCTGTCGAGTAGTCGAAATTACATCGCATTAGGTGGGCGTCATTCTTTCGGAACTAAGCTGCGAATAAATGGGTGGAAATTACATAACCTGCCAGGTCGTATATGTGACAAAGTTGTTTTTGAGTAGTGCGTTTGGAAAAGATGTGCTTGATTTAAAGCTGCATCGGGTGTAAAATTTGTGTTGTAATTTCCCGCCGTTGAGAAGCTTTCAAATTTTTACGAACAAAATATTGAAGTCAAGACTTATTTCGATGCTGAAACTGAATGTATTTGCTATTTCGACAGCGCTGCAATTCCTTTTGCATAAGTTTAATCAATCAATTCAGTTATTATATTATATCTGTATTTTTATATATCCATATATAATATTTGTTATTTATATAGCATATTTTTATTTATAACATATTTTTTAGGTGCCACCACATTCAGTGCGCACATTTGGTACTCAACGTCATTTCTCGGAGAATTTGGAATCTGCGATAGCGGAAATCAATTTTATCGCCACACTGCAGCATTTCATCAAAGGTCGCCTAAAGGTAATATTGAAATATATCTCAAAAATACTGTGCGTAAGTAATATATTATTATTATTTTTATCTTTTTGCTCTTCTCTTCGCAGTTGAAATGCTCCGCTCGCATTTACGATATTTATGTGCAAGAAGCTGAGAAGCTTATCGAAGAAGATCGTCCGCGCATCTTGGCCTCAGGCCGTTCGCCAGAGCTGAATATGTATCCATTTGATCATCTGTCGGATACGGAAGGTTTCGATGAACATAACGAACTGTACTTGACACATTATAACAGTAAGTAAAATTATAAGCATTTCTCCATTTCAATTGTTTCAACAACTTTGAGAGAGATTTAAAGTAGCTATTAAATACGACTGACGAAAACTAAAAAAAATCAGAAATTTTCCTAAATCTCTTCAGTTGTTTCTATAGTCGAAAAACCTTACATTTAGGACTTTCTTGCGCGGCATATAATAAATAACTGTAACAGCTAAGTCAACGCGTGTCAATATTAATTATACTTGAATATATAGAATACACACAATTTTACAGCTTCGAATTTATATACGCACGTTCATTTCGGTTAATGACCATTTTTACCTAGGAAGGGGAGTTATATCGTAAAATGCGTAGTCAGGTTTCTCCAAATACAATAATTTCCGGACCAATTTAAATGGCTACAATAATTCAAAATACAAAGCAATTTCCTTTGTCATAAAAATTTTCCAGCATATTTGGATCGAATATTAACGCGACTTTGCCATCGAAATAGGGTACACAACCGACTATCTATCTGCTTGTATGCAAATAAAACAACCGTTGGAATTTGCCAATTTATGTGTATACATTTTGAAAATCATTCATTGCGAAAATGCATAAAACTATGCGTAAACAAGACTAATGAGTCGAAAGGATACAAGTGGCGACTGGCTAAATTTGAAAGACTGCTGAGAGGTGTTGTGGGCAAAATGTTGTGGTAGTAAATTGGTATAAAATATATAGCGCTCTGTGGGAGTAACAAGGGGATAAGGGTACTTAGCTATACAACGGAGAAATAGAAGGAAGAAAAATGGAAGGATGTGTTGGAGGATGAGCGAAAGCCAATGCTGCTTTTGTTTCTAATGCTTTTGAAATGCTCGTATTGTGCTGTGGACTAGGTTTTGTTACAGCTGCACTTGTTGTTGTTGTTATTGCCGGTAGAGGATATGAGACATTAAAAATCATCTTGATTAATAACCCAACGTTAGTCAAGCATAATATTGTCTAAATGAACGCAAATGCGCAAACATTCAAATGCCACGAATAGCCATGTATCAACTATGTATTATTAGCTTCGTTGTGTGGCAGTTGCTGTTGCTGCGGACGAAGTTGGAGTCCGTGTACCCGTACTATAGAAACAACATAATGATACGTAAAATGATGTTTAATAGACAAAAGGCAGCTGAGCATTAGCAACGGCGAAAATCAGTACAAAAGAAACAAATGACTGCTGATGAGAGATGTTATCGGTGAAGCAGGCGATGAAAGTGTGTGGAGTGAGCAAATATGAAACGTATGAATAGCGATTTCACGTACATACATATGTATACTTGTTTAAGTAACTTTTTGTAGTCCCTATGGGAAAAACTCAAAGTCTACGTAAGTTAACGAATTTCTTCTGCTAAAGTGGGGTAATTTTGTCAATTTGCTGCTAGTTAGACGTGAAATAAAATCGTTTCACAACTTTTACTACAGACTTTTTGGAGCAGCTAGCAAGAGTTTTTTGAATTACGCATTTGTATCGGTTGTCACGTAATAATATTGTAGGTTATGGAAAGCCAATTAAATAATGCTGATTTTCTATTCTTTCAACAGCATCTTAGAAATTTGTTTAATATAAGAATTAAAAAAAACCTACTGTATCAATTGTTTTGAAATTTTAAGGTTACAACTATACATACTATTTTAGGAATAACCACTGGAACTTGTCTCCGACGGCACTGAAATATGGTCTTCAACTGCTGCACGGCCTTCTCCGTCTCCGTGGGTGAAACCTAAAAAACTCTATAAGATGTACAATGACATATAGTCGAAAAGAATGAAAAATTGACAAAATAATGGCATTAAAATATGATTTTTATCCCAAAATTTAGTCGTTTTGGTCTTCGAAAATTCGAGCACTTATGCAGATTTTAAAAATCTAATTTTGACAAAAACGCGTTTAAAGATGAACTGATTAAGCTGATTAAAATGAGCGGTTACACATTAAAAGACTGTAACTAAAAACCTGTTTGAGATATCAATTTAATGTTGTTGTATTAAAAATATTAACTTATCGAAATATGTAAAAATCTTTTTTCTTTAATTTCGCAGTAGGTGTGCCTCGCTCTAATTAGTGCGATTTCCTGCAGGGCTTACACACCTAGTGATTTTGGCGAGGGTATACTCTGGCTGGATTATCAATCTTCTAAGCTATTACTATACCCAAATGCAATAAAAATGCGAATCTACTCTTATGTACACATATATTTATAAGCATGCTTGCATGTATATATATACATATATATGTACTATTTGCATAGTATTTGCTATATTAAAGCCGCTCATTCCGCCGGCATCAGGCCATCTACGAAGAGGAAAGAAAAAAATCCGATAAAATCTTTTGCCTGATTGTTTTGTAACTGACACGCAACGCTCAGGAATATGAATGGAAACATGGCGTCCACATATACATATATGTATGTTTGTACAATACTTACCGTTTTCTGTTTTCCGAATTAAAGGAGATATTCAGAATGCGAACACCATTACATTGATTAAGTGCCAAGCATTAAATCAAAGTTAGTGAAAAATTTGCTAAAGCACAAATGAATGGCGGTCGCCAACTGGTATATGGTAGACAGAGATGAAGATCAAACCAAAGAACGAAGAGGAGGAAATAAACGAAAAAGCGAAACAAGTGTGTTCTTTACACTGAGGAAATTTTCGCAAATAACGAGAGCTCAAGCAGTACTTCAATTTTCACTACTAAATCCTAAAACCTTTTGCATACATATACATACATATAAGTGGGAACTAATTGGTTAAATTCAAACATTATAATTAAATTTTAAGCGATATTTCCATAATAGTCTGGTTGAATTTAAAATTAGTTATTGCCGAAATATCTAATTTTCTTGGAGCAAAAAAATTAATATCCGAATATCCAGCTGTGTATTAAAACCGTTATCTGTACCATACGTTAATAAAGAGAATTACTTCTGCTTTAGAAATCGAATTCTCCAACATACATAAGTCATGGAAACCACCAATCTTTGTAATTAAATAGTGCATACTCGTACAAATATACCATGATATAAGCTATACGGTTAAATGTATGTACACATACATATGTATCTTATATATGTAGCTTTGTATCGTTGTGAATGCTGAAGTTAGTTCAGTATTAAATGCTTAACGCTGAGCTTGCGCAATTAATTCAAAGATTAATACCACCAAAGGGAGTAATATCGCATCTAGGTACATACAACGACAGCCACACATACACTAATGCAACAGCTATGATATATACATATGTATATGGTTTAAATATCGCGGCATACGCGTATTACCAGTCCCAACTAACCGAAAGCTTGCGTTATATTGTGGATGCAAGCACTTCCACTTATAATATTAATACCTACAAACTATAGAACTCAATACATACCCGGAAATTGGAAGTAACGACAAGTAATGGTGGCTGTAGATACTTAGATTATTTAATATTCCGATTTCCATCATCTGATTTAACCAACCAGTATTTTTATACTCTCGCAACCTGTTGCTACAGAGTATAATAGTTTTGTTCACCTAACGGTTGTTTGTATCACCTAAAACTAATTGAGTTAGATATAGGGTTATATATATATAAATGATCAGGATGAAGAGACGAGTTGAAATCCGGGTGACTGTCTGTCCGTCCGTCCGTCTGTCCGTCCGTCCGTGCAAGCTCTAACTTGAGTAAAAATTGAGATATCTTTTTGAAACTTGGTAGACATGTTTCATGGTACCGTGAGACGGTTGGTATTGCAGATGGGCGTAATCGGACCACTGCCACGCCCACAAAACGCCATTAATCAAAAACAATTAACTTGCCATAACTAAGCTCCGCAATAAGATACAAGACTGTTATTTGGTACACAGGATCACATTAGGGAGGGGCATCTGCAGTTAAAATTTCTTTTTAAAAAGTGGGCGTGGTCCCGCCTCTAATAGGTTTAATGTGCATATCTCCTAAACCGCTAATGCTATAATAACAAAATTCACTGGAAGCAAATGTTTTTAGCACTTCTATTGACGGTGTGAAAATAGTTGAAATCGGGTGGCAACTCCACCCACTCCCCATATAACGGTACTGTTAAAAACTACTAAAAGCCCGATAAATCAAGCACTAAACACGCCAGAGACATTAACTTTTATCTCTGAGATGGTATAAATTGGCTTTATAGGAACCGCGTTAAAAATTAGTCAGTGGGCGTGGCACAGCCCACTTTTAGGTGAAAACCCATATCTTGAGATCTGCTCAACCGATTTCAACCAAGTTCGGTGCATAACGTTCTATTCATGTTTCTATGTCATAGTGCGAAAATGGGCGAAATCGGACTACAACCACGCCTACTTCCCATGTAACACCATTTTCAATTCCATCTGATTCTTTCACTTTCCACTATGCAAATCAGGTAACAATGATTATATCGGGGTAAAACTTTGTGCGAATAATGCAATTAAAGTATGCCACCTTGCGGCCAAAAATTGTCTAAATCGAACGAAAACTGTTCAAACCCCTAAATACTAAATATGTGGACCCCAGTGCCTATAGTTGACCTTCTACCGAAAATATCAGTCAATCCACAAAGAAATCTCAAACGAGTATACCATTTGACTTTGCGAGAGTATAAAATGTTCGGTTACATCCGAACTTAGCCCTTCCTTACTTGTTCATTTTCAGTTTTTGTCTCAGTACAGGGCCTATAACTGTAGAGCGCTTATTTGAATTTTTTTTTATAAAGCATTTCGGCTTATGGTTTAAATAATTAAAATCCTATGTAACTAAATGCGATTAAGGAATGTTTCAAATGTTAAACGTTTTTTATGTAAATTATTTGTTATAATTTATGTGTTTTTTATGCTCTTTCTTTTAGATCACCCATCAGCAGCACCGGGAGAAACGAAGGAATTGGAGTCGCAGCTTCTCAAAGTGGCCATTGCCTTTCTGCTCATAGCCGCAACCAATAGCCTTTTCCAACCCACAATAGCAGCAATTGCTCAAGCAGCAGAAGGAAGATGTTTGCAGATTGCGAATAAAAGAAACGAAAATGCCACCGAAAATCAATTTTTTTTACAGCAATGCCAAATAAGTACAGCAGAAATTAATTTAAAAACGAAATGTGTCAAAGAGTGTGAACCGACTGTACGACGAATGCTGTTTAAAACGCGGTGATAAGTTACAGTAAAAACATAAAAAGCATTAGTTACAAATATACATAAGAATCGATAAAAATATTTAATAAATAAAACAGTATAAAGGATTATAAATAATATAAGAACAACTTAAAATAAGCCAAATAAACATATAAAATTGTGTTTAAAGTGAGCAGTTCATTATGATCATCATTCGTACATACTAATCAAATAAAATCACATAATCAGCATACATACATACATATATGTCACGTATTACCATGCTTACCCATACCCAAAAACTGAAAATAAAATTAAGCGGACGATAATGGAGATCATTAAGAATAGTGAAACAATCGCTTAGCTAAGAATTATACTGTAAGTAGAACTTTACTTTTTATTTATTATGCTTTTATTTTTAATTTTTATTTAAAATTTACTTTTGTCTTCGTATTTTCTGTTATTATTTGAAGTTTTAGTGTCATTTCTCCTTAGCTGAACTGTTTTTCGATTTTGAGTTAAGAATTAACTTTTTTTTTATATTTTGGTGACTTATGGTTCTTAATAATGTTACCTTATTATTTCTCTAAAGTGATTCTTTTTATAGAAAATTATACATTCTTTACATTTTACTAAGCTTCTATACGTATTTTCACTTCTCATAGTTTTTTTCGTTTATTTTCTATGATTATGATAGTTCAAGTTAAATTTAAAAAAAAGAAGATCTGATCAAGCTCTTTAATTATGTGTAAGCGATAGTAATTAGAAGTGAAAGTAATGTAATATTTAAACAAATTGATAAAATAAACAATGTTTTCGTTTCATTTACTGTCTTTAAATGAAACAATTGTCGAAGGACTTTTCCACTCTGATTGAATCTCCAAACATGCGTTCTGAACGCATCAGCAGCCTCTTCAGGTGTCGAAAAACGTTGACCTAATAGTTTATTTTTGACGTACGGGAATAAAAAGATATCATTCGATGACAAGTCAGGACTATACGGTAGTTTCAGTCGGTGTGTGAAAGCTCGCATTGTCAGAATTTACTGCGTGAAGAACTTTTGTTGGATTCGGCTCATCTTGAAACACCCATACAGTCGACTGCTGTTTACTTTCGGGCTCATACGCGTAAATTCACGATACCTCTTCATAAATGCACTTTTTTCAATGGCCCATTTGGACCTTTAGGATGCTTCATTCGAAAGATATTATTTAAGCACTTTCCTTCTCGTTACTTTCTTTGTTTTCAATTGTTCATTGAAAATAACTATTTCAACTAGAGCTTTCAATACTCCTCAAAATGTAGTTAAGGAAGTTCTGACACAAACGAACTATTTTTGTTTGCTAGTTGGGAGGTAGTGCAAAACTAGAAAGGAACAATACGAAATTGAAAATTTCTCCAAATGCAATTAAAGTGGTTATATTCGACATAGACATTGAAAAGCGTACAAAACATTTCTTTGTGTGTTTATTTGTCATCTGTATGTAGTAAAGTCTTTTAAGAATACGCACTGGCTTAAAGATTTGTATGAGTATTTACAACTTCGTTTACGCATTGCAAAAATCGTTAGATGGTTGCAATTGTTGTACTCGACTCCTCGCACTCATGTGTGTACACGTACCTGTGAGTATTTCTATTTTTTTTTTGTGTGTGTGGGATGATAATTATGTAACAAAAATGCTTATGACTTTTCAATTTTACTTTTCAGATTTGTTGTACAACAAATCATTTACTAATTGTTCTTTTCTTCGTTCATTTCTCCCGTCTGTATTTACAAAACAATGAAAACCAAAACAAAACAGCAATTTCATTTTGAATGGAAACGAAACAAATGCTCGATTCCCAAGCTGCTCTGCTTTTACGCCTAGGAAGTCCATCTACATACATATATACATACATACATATTTATAGATTTATAATGTCCATCCTGTATAAACGTATGTATATTTATGGCAGGATTTTCTCTGTTGCCCAGTTTCGTTTGTTAAAATTTGCAAATTTGTTTCACTGGTTTGAATGTGTTGGATTCTGTTTTGAGTTGTGGCCAATATACTTGTTATTGGAGCGCTCCATGTTTTTGCATTTTCCAATTCTTCTTTGCTGTTGTGTTTTCGTTATTTACCGATTCTTTGGCCAATTTTGTCGGTTTCACTGGCACATGCAGAGAAACATTTCATTTTGACAGCAACAGCAAAAGCAACAACTACATGCCTATGTTTTTGTTGGTTTTCTGCTTGTCTGGTCAGCGGCATGCTGCAGAGAATTTTTAATTGGCATCAAATTACGCTGAAATTTCCACAGCAATACTTTCTAAATTCTTCATTTCTATCCGGATTCCTACTTGAGTTTGCTGCCTTTGTATTACAGCTGTCGGTGGGTGTGGGTTGGGGATATCTATGTTTGGTTTTTGGGTAAGAAAAACTTTCTCTTACTTTGGTATTTGTATTTCTGATCATACGAATTACATAAAAGTAAACAAATTAAGCACAGTTACTTTGAATGTTACTGGTCTTTATTAATTTCGGCATTCTCAGTAGAATTACCGAATATTAACAAAGTAAGAATTAGTCTGACGGAATAGATCAACGTTTACGATAGGTAAATAATGATTAGGTACTTATATATTATACACTTCACAGGTGTATTTTTTATAGCATAATAGGTATACAAATATATATTCTGATTTTGATCTGTCAATTTGGATGACAGCTATAAGCTGTAGTGGTCCAAACTGAACCATATATCTTGAAATCGTAGCAATGCCGTGGACAATAACCTGTGCAAAATTTCATTAATATATCCTGACAAATGAAATAATTTTCATGCAGGGCCTTGATTTTACTATAGTAACATAGTCCGATCTCAACAATTGTTTGGCAGATTGTACCATTAATTTAGGCAATAAACCATGCCAAATTTCTTGAAGATATCTCGTCAAATGAAAAGGCTTTCCATACAAATTTTTGTTTCCTATCGTTCAGTTTGTATGGCAGATATATGCTATAGTAGCCCCATAATGGCAGTTCCGACAAATAAGCAGTTTCTTGGAGAGAAAAGGATGTATGCAAAATTTTTGATCAATATATCAAAAATTATATGTACATATGGACGGACAGACGAACATGGCTAATTTGACTCAGCTCGTCACGCTGATTATTTACATGTATACGTTATAGGGTCTCCGAGGTTTTCTTTAGGCTGTTGCAAACATCGTGGCAAACTTAATATATACTCTATTTATTATCATTGTGCTAGTTCCCCCAAACACTCCTTATATATATATATATTATATAAAGTTATTAAAGATTTTTGTTGAATGAAGATCCAAAATATCCACTCAAACATTCAATGAAAAAGTACACATTTATGTCCGAATGAAGCAACATGTATATTACAATATATTCCAGGATATTTCACATTCATTGTTCCCTTACAAAACAAACTAATTTCTGCAAATATTTCGATTAAATTTCTCTTTTAAAATTGAAAGGACTGTAATTTTATAAAATAAATACCAACCTCTCATTTGCAATATTAACAGATGTTTGTGCGCAATTTTCCAAACATTTTGTATGTTTTATTACACACATATACATATCTTATATTCGTACATATATATAGTGTATATTTAAAAATAAATGAAGTTATTCAGTTGTTTGGTTTATGTTTTTTTTCCGCAACAAACTGGAACTCGATTTATTTTGCTTCAAAAGTTGGTTGATTCACTACATTGCTTCATTTTTATTCTACTGCAGATGAGTATGTCTACACACTGTATATGTATGTCTGTATTAGTAAAACACAAGAACACTGTGCATTTGTTGTGTGTCATTTTTGAGGTTATTAGCATAATTTTGCACCTAAACCTCAACGGTTACTATGAAATTTACAGGTTTGCTTTGTTGCTGTTGTTCCACTTTCCAGTGTAATGCGTTGACAAAATATGATTAAGTGCGAATCACACTCGAAGCGTAAACGCATAAGCATGCAACAACGCAGGCGTATTTACTGCACCTTCACACCAATCGTACATGCACATTAGGGTGTCCGCCATTTCCCAAGTTTAACATAAACAAACACTTTATTTTCAATTTGAACTGTTCTTAAATCATATTTTTTTGCATTATTCAAATATTCCTATAATTTTGAAAAAAAAGAATATTCTAACACAAAAAAAAGTTGGTTTTTTCTATGAAAATATTTCTTTAAAAATTATACGCAGTTGAAGTTGTACACGAATTGACTGGGCGTTCATACAAGAGCCTCAAAAATTTTGTGTTGCTCATACGACGTGGGATATATAGTGTATTATGCCAGTAAAAACTAGAAAAACCGTTAATTTCGGTTGCACCGAAGCTATAATACCCCTCACAGGTGCATTATAGCATAAAGGTGTATGCTACAGTGATCCTATCTGAACAATTTCTTCGGATATTGTAATGATGCTGTGAATACTAATCAATGCCAAATTTCACGAAGATATCTTGTGGAATGAAAAAATATTACCATACAAGATCTTTATTCCGAGCACTCAGTTTGTATGGTAGCTTTAACATAGTGGTCCGATCAACACACTATCTTCGGAGATTGCATTATTGACTTATTTATATGGCAGTTATATGCTATAGAGCTCCAATATCGGGGGTTACGATAAATGAGCAGCTTCTTGGTGAGAAAAGGACGTGTGCAAAAGTTCTGGTCGATATCTCAAAAACTGATGGACTAGTTCGCATATATACAGATAGACATGGCTAAATCATTTGAGCTCGTCACCCTGATCAAATTAGGATCTTCGGCGTTTCCTTTTGGGTGTTACAAACTTCGTGGCAAACTTATCTTTTCAATTTCAAATCAACATGGAGAATAGCAGACACCCTAATGTACATATATGTATTTATATATATGTTCGTGCATACTTGCATTATCGGCACTGTGCGAGTACTCACGCGTAGTATCAATTAGTTGGTTCGGTCTGCATCGTTATTCAATTTCGAATAACGATTTTCCTCTTACTATCTAAGTTAATATGGGTGGTGACGGCATGCTGCTACAACAACAAATATATTCACATCGGGCAACCACACAAGTGTTCCTGTCTATGACAGAATATGCAGCAATGCATTATGTCATTATTATTGTTATTGTTTAGTTAGTGGCTCTGTATTAAGAGACTGTGCTCGTGCGGGACAAATTGACTATTCGTCACGGAAGGACAGGTTCGAATACAATATAGCTTATTCATTCATCTTAAATGTATATAAATATACTTGTATGTGGATTATCTAACGCTAACGAAAATTCTCTGGCACTCTCCGCCAATGTAAGGAAAACACGGCCTGTCTCTCGGCTCGTTATTATTAATATTATGAATGCAGTTT